CCCCCCCCCCCGCCTCACTGATTGGCTGGCTCCCCAATCGCCCCGCCCGCCTCTAAGAGTCCTATCTAAATCTTCAAGTCTTAAAGCTGTCAAGTTACAAGACCCTTGCACCCCTAAGCCTTTAGAAAAAAAAAACCCAGGGGTGCTCAAAATTGACAGCTTTAAGACTTATGGACTTCACCTCCCAGAATTCCTCCTCCAGTGATGTTGACTCAGGAACTCTGGCTTGAAGTGTGCAAGTCTTAAAGCTGTCAAGTTACAAGACCCTTGCACCCCTAACCTTTTAGAAAAAAAAACCCCAGGGGTGTTTAAACCTGACAGCTTTAAGACTTGTGGACTTCAACTCCCAGAATTCCTCCTCTCGCTCTTCATTTTGATGGTGTGCAGACGGGTGGGGGGAGGGAGCTGGAACCGGTTCTAAATGGCACCGTAGATTTGTGGAACCTCTTCTATAGAAGAGGTTAGAACTGGCAGGAACCCACCCCTGGTAGTAGGGCAGCTCCACCCCCCACCCCCATTTTTACCCATGCACCCTGGAGTGGGCAGGGTCTTAACTAGGGCTTATTTTGGGGGTAGACAAAGGTGGCTTGCTCCTGGTTTGGCCCAGATTAGGAGAACCAGTAGTAGCAGCAGCAGGCGGCTCCGCCCACCCGCCCAGACAGTTCTGCGAAGCACGTCCATGAGCGAACTGGTAGTAAAAAAATTAGCAACCCACCTCTGGGGGTAGGGCTTATATTAGCTGCACATGTAAAAATCAAGCTAGGACTTACTTTCTAAATAGGTCATATTTTGGGGGAATCATGGTAGAACACAGTGCATTTTAAGACTACACACTTCGATTTTGGTGCCACTATGTGGATGGCTCATTTGTCATCAGAAGAAGAAATGCACTGAAAGACTTTCATACCCTACTGAACTCCATCTTCCCAGATATACTGTTCACAATGGAGGAAGGAACAGCCATTTTTAGATGTGCTTTTCACCATACAGAAAGACGGAAGCCTAGAAATCAGGGTTTATAGAAGGCCATTAACACCCCAGACATTCTGAGTTTCAAGAGTAACCATCCACTGTCATACACAAAGAGTTGTGTCAGAATACTATATGGCAGCGTGAGAACCCACTGTAGTGCCCAGCAAGTTGAACAACTGGAAAGCTGGTACCTACGTGAACAATTCAAGCAGAATGAGTATCCACAATAGCATCCATTACAAGATGCCTGAGCAACACACAGGAGAGAGAAAGGAAGAAAGAAGACACAATAGCAATAGCACTTAGACTTATATACTGCTTCATAGTGCTTTGACAGCCCTCTCTAAGCGGTTTACAGAGCCAGCCTATTGCCCCCAACAATCTGGGTCCTCGTTTTACCCACCTCGGAAGGATGGAAGGCTGAGTTAACCTCGAGCTGGTGAGATTTAAATTGCAGCTAGCATTCAGCTGAAGTAGCCTGCAGTACCGCACTCTAACCACTGCGCCACCTTGGCTCTTACAAGACCAACTACGATATATGGCACACCCTGACATCCATCAAAAACATTTAAGAAGCAGTAGATCTGCAAGTGGGGATCACGCCCAGATGCTACCATATGAATCCAAATCATGCATTGCAAAGATCGCTTGGAGGTAGGAGATATTTCTAATGTAATCTGCCAGATCCCCTGCATGGATTGCCTCTGTGGCTGGGTAGGACAGAAGGGGAGGAAGCCTACCACCACATTGCAAGAACACAAGTGAGCAGCCAGACAAGGCAACCCAAACTCATTGGTAGCCTCACATTACAAAGAACCTTCAATTTTGCAGCTACTAAGATTGTTGGCCGAGCAGGTACAAAGATAGCCAGCGAAATGATTGAAGCCTGGGAAATGGGTCCCTCGTCAGTCAAGAGGAGTGCTGATTTACCACCAGCTTATCAGGTGCTTAGGAGCCAAGGACTTGGCAGCACAAGAAACAACAGCCAATATCCGGTCATCAACACACCAATCGACAACTAAAAAAACACACACAACCAGACACCACATAAATATTACATATTGTATAGCCCAAAGCACACATTCTTCTAGGGAGAAGTTCCCTGAGGATGCAAGTCCAAAAGCTCGGAAGACAAAACCTTTGGTCCCGGTGACAGATCCAGTTTGGATCCTGCAATGTTATCCTGGGAAATGTATATTTGCCTTCATTCAAATACTGACCATCCCTAATTAATGAATTAAAAGGTGTTGTGATAAAGTGATCAGGCACTTGATCAAAAATGTTTTGTGAGCCTAAATTACTGGAACCCCAAATTCACAGCAAGTTTCCTCCTACCTTGTCAATATAAAGTGGAGAGAAGTGGATACTCAATTATTACAAGTCAAGGCTATGGTTTTCCCAGTTGCAATGTATGGCTGTGGAAGTTGGACCATAAGTAAGGCTGAATGCCAAAGAATTGAGGCCTTTGAACTCTGGTGCTGGAAAAGACTACTGCGAGTCCCTTGGACTGCAAGGCCATCAAACTGGTCAGTCCTAAAAGAGATCCACCTTGACTGCTCTTTAGAAGGCCAGATCCTGAAGAGGAAACTCAAATACCTGGGCCACCTAATGAGAAGGAAGGACTCACTGGAGAAGAGCCTAATGATGGGAATGATTGAGGGCAAAGGGGGACAACAGAGAATGAGGTGGCTGGATGGAGTCACCAGAGCAGTCGTGTGAGCTTAAATGGACTCCAGAGGATGATAGAGGACAGGAAGGCATGGAGGAATGTTGTCCATGAGGTCATGATGGGTCGGACATGACTTCACAACTAACAGCAACAACAATCACCATAAGAAAAGTCTAAATCCTAATCTGATAAATATAAGGGTCAGTGATGCCAACCTCAGATTCTTAACAGAGTGTAAAATAAAATAAGCAATTGTAGTGATATGTAGTGACTTTTGCAGATTAGGCAAGTGAGATAAGAGGCTACTGAGCCTACTGAAGCCATAGAGGTGTGGCAAATATCTCAGAAGGGACACCTCCACCCCCTTCTTGGTGTGCAAATGTCACAGGGGAGAGATCTATCTTTAGACTTACAAGATTCTGTTAATGTAACCTTACAATAAAGACTATGTAATACTCATGGGCATACCTCTTGCCTGGACTACCTTGCAAGGCTGACAGTAGCACTGTAACTCTACTTTTCTGCAAGGAGTTCCAGGGAAGCATATATCATTTCTCCTCGTGGGTGAGGAGTTAAGAGTAAAAGTATGTCTAGACTACATATTATGGTCACTCATCAATTTTATACATGTAGGGTTATCCTGTCACTCCATGGAACTCTTTGAATCTTTAAGAACTAGAAAGCTGGCCAACAGAGAAAAGTGAAATATGCTCCTGAAGCTGTTATAACTTAATGAGGCAACTTTCTCTTCTGTTGGATTCCTGTTTTCTATGCAATTGGCTTTTTTAGAAAAGAAGGCAACGGTGAAGCAGGCAGAATTCCATTTGGAATATTGCATCCAGTTTTGGTCACCACCATATAAAAAAGATGTTGAGACTCTGAAAGAGCAACAGAGTGTTCCAATATTTGAGGGGCTGCCACAAAAAAGGGAGTCAACTTATTTTCCGAAGCACCCGAAGGCAGGACAAGAAACAATGGATGGAAACTAATCAAGGAGAGAATCAACCTAGAACTAAGGAGAAATTTCCTAGCAGTTAGAACTATAGATCAGCGGAACACCTTGCCTCCAGAACTTTTGGGTGCTCCATCACTGGAAGTTTTAAAGAAGAGATTGGACAAGAGCCAATCTGGGTTGGCCACTGCTTCCCAGCTTTTGGGCTTGTGCTAGAGCCCATCCTCAAATAACTTCTCTGATGGTCCAAAAGCTCAGAAGACAAAACCTGTGGTCCCGATGACCGACCCAGACTGGATCCTCCAACATTATCCTGGGACACAAATATATTTCCGTCCGTTCATGAGAGATTGGACAGACATTTGGTCCAGAATGGTATAGGGCAGTGATGGCGAACCTATGACACGCGTGTCA